ATTAAGAAGCTGAGCAGATTTTCGGTGTGCCACTCACTTGTTACTTGCATATTGAATGGTTTTATTATGAGGTTGACGATGAAACAATAACTTTTTGAGTAATAATGGGAGGAAAATCACATTTTGTATCACGTTTGAATATAACATAATGAGGGATCCGCCACCGCTTCCCTCTCTCCCTCTTCCTCTCCTCTCCCCATCACCGGCGCTTCGCCGGACCTCTGCCTTCGATCCACCACCACTCCACTCCCTCCTCCTTTGAGATGATGTCTACAGTCTATGGTCAACGGTAGTTGAGGGGTCATAACACTGCTCCTTGCATCACCAGCCCCGACCACCTCCATAACCTCTCATAGAAGGACCATTATACCGCGATGATGTTGATCATGATATGGGTCTTCATCAAGCAGATCTGCAGTTGTTATTACATGTGTGCTGAAAACTTAAAAGTCTCTAATTCAGTAGGGTTAGGTTTTTTAAATTAATGAAGATAATAAGAAATTGATATGTCAAAAAATATATATAATTTTAATGAGTTGGATGTCCATCCATGTGAGATGGTATTAAAATATGATATAATTATGTGATAAGTATAGTATTAGCCTACAATAATATATTCAATGAATTAATTAGGTGTCATGCTCCTCATCTTTGTTATTGTATGCACATAAACGAGTCTTAGGGTCAGTTTGGCATTGCTGTGCTGTGAAAATAATCGTTGTTAGACTTGCTGTGAGAGAAATCAGCTGTAAGAGAAAGCAGTTTGGCGTTTGTAAAATTTTTGTTAAAAGTGTTGTTGATATTGATTTCAACAAAATCAGAAAATAATTGTTGCATAATTATTAAACCCAATGCCTCTTCGAAACTGATTTCTGCATAATCAGAAAATGACAGCACCTCATTAGCTGCTTTCCCTTATAGCTTTCTCTCACAGCAATTTTTAGCAATAAGTGATTTTCTCACAGTTTACCATACGGGTTGGGCTTCCCAATTTTTTTTTAAAATCACTTATCACCTCAAATAAGCAATATCAAACGAGCACTTAGCCTCTTACATAAATGAGTCTCTTAAAATATTAGGCCGTTATAATCATTCTGTGATCTTCTTCCACACAAACACAAATATATATATATATATACATATATATATACACACATATGAACCACAAAATTGCAAAGGGCGAGCTACCTTTGCAGCACAGCACACTCAAAAGAATGGAAGTAATCAAGATGAAGGAAGGTGAAAGAAAAAAGAAGAAGAAAAGAAGCACGAAGCAGGATGTTTTTCTTTTTAAGAGATTCAAATTTTATTATCTGATAAAAGGACAACTATCTCTCAACCATCGCTCCAGCGAAGTGAGTTATGAGCTTTGCTTCTTATTCTTAGAGTATTTATACTAGGGATTTCTCAACAACCAAACAATTTATATTATTATCACTGCTTGTATATTTTCCATGAGCTTTCAAATTAATTGTCGCTGGCCCCCCAATAATTTTGTGACTTTTGTCGACATGTAACAAAATGTCCAAAAACAAAACAGAAAAGTCAACACAAGTCGCTCTCTAAATGAAAAATAATAGAGCAAGGCTACTTTTCAATTGCGTGACAAGACAAGCAGGCCCCTCCTAACTTTTATCAAAGAAAAATTAAATCTCCAAAAACTCCTTTTATATTTGAGTGGCCAATAGCAAATAGATCTGACCTGTACCACGTTTCGCGGCACAATCTCAGCCGTCAATCTGCCATCAATTACGTGTTCGGTGGGTAGCCGCTGGTTGAAGAAAACGATGGGGGGTTAAAGATTGACAAGGACCGAAAGCATTAGATCCACCGCCACTTAATTGTCTCCTTCTTCACAAAGCGAATCGGTCCAGGTTGGCTGCCGAATCTGGGGAAATTGCATCGAGACCCAGCGGAAACTTCTGAGTAAGTCATGCTTCCCAAACGGTTGACTCAATTTTCGCATATTTATATATAGTAGATTTGGATGTTCAAGTACATCAGTTGAGGGTTTTCTCTGTATGTTCAATTTCGAATTCAGCTGTTCGTTAAATGTCCTGAATTTCTAGCATGCCAAGCTCTTCTAAATCCCGAGTGATACTATCGATTAGCAATCATCATGAACAACATGATGATTTCAGCAAGGATCGCTTCATGGATGATGCTAATGGTTCATGCAAAGGGAAGAATTTAGAATGTGTATCAGGTTGTAGTGAAAGGAATTTGAGGAGAAAATTGGATGATGAGGATGATGAGACCAATTGTTCACAAGATGCTTGTTATGCAGGTTACTAATCAATTTGTCAATTTGATGTCTATGTCTGTGTTTCATGGTATATGGTATGGTATGGTATGGTGAGTTTTCATTTTGGGAGCTGAAATATATTTGACATAGGTCTCCTTTATAGGTAGCCAAAGTAAGGCACAAATTACAACCAGCAAGTGTGTGGAAGTTGAGGTTTCAACAGGCTCAAGTTCAAGTTCAAGTTCAGTAGATATTGCAAATGAATCTTCCAACCATGTTTCTTTAGGTGCTCATGAGGATGCCCCTCTGTCTACCCAAGGAAGACTAGAGAGCAGAGATAATCTTCATGATGTTGAGAATATAAGTACTATCTCAGGTATCTCAAGTTTTGCGCCGCAATATATAAATGTTTTCAGCCCGCGCATTGTCAATTGGTTTTGGGTTGGAAGCTTATACTTATAATAGTGTCAGCGCAGATGAATCCACATGTAAGGCCCTGTGGCCGCATATGCTTCATGTCACGCAATATAATTAACGACATGTTTCACTTAGCCCCGTTGCACGTTAGGATCGTGTTGGCTAGTATAGAATTCCACGGCGGGAAAATAAAGCGTCCCAAAATGAGATATAACATCTTAAGTCTCTCCACCTATTGTCATGTGATTTTGGGTTGGATTGTCTAATTTTAACACGGTATCATATTGTGCAATACGCATGTAATACCGTATGCTCGCATTGGCTTCTCGTCAATCAATAAAGTTGACGACGTGTTCACCTCTGTCCCACCATACGCGAGGGTCGTGTTTGTGAGTATAGAATTTCATGTTGTAAATTCTAAGCATTACATAGCAATACTTAAAATGTTAGGCCTCTATGGTATCAGAGGGGGCTATCCATAAGTAAGGTCATATGGCCACATATGCTTCCCGTCAGTTAATGTAATTGATGACGTGGTTACCTTAGTCCCGCCTTATGTTGGGGCGTGCTTGTGTGTGTAAAATTGCACATTGGGAATTTAAGACATATTTTGCAATATATTGTACGTCTTCACTCATTGCCATTTGGTTTTGGGTTGTATGCACAAACTTCTACGTATGTGCTCCATTCTGTCTCTTCTATCCTAGAAAATTAATGCGTGCCTATCGTGTTGAAATCCTCTTCTCATCATTTATTTGTTGAAGTGCATGATTCTTAGCAAGGACTATTGCAATTTAGAAAACAAGTGGTGAATTTCTTATTTCTCTTTTCAGGGAGTAATGTCAGGGAAGGTGGCTGTGTAGAGAGAGTAAGCAACAGCCTATCATCGGATAGGACTAATAAGGTATGTTCTCATGTTTATAGTCAATCTTCAAAACAATCCACTTCAATTTAGTTCAGTATTTTGGTCTTCGTTATATAACTAATTTTTCTGCTTGCCTCCTTTGGAATCTCTCCTTAGGGAAGTTACACGAGTACAAAACCAACACAAGCATCTAAGATGCAATGGCCAAAGTGGACAGTGTCGCACATGTTGAGTTTGTCAAGCATGGAGCAAGTGATGAATTATTACCGTGTTTTGAATTTGGCCGATAACTTGAATGATGAGGTGAGGGGTGTGATCTTCAGTTTGTTCTTCAGTTTTATGTTACGTAATAAGTAGGGATGAAGGTAAACATACTGTCATGAAAATTAAGTACATAACAGGTCGTGTATCCTTGCAGGATCTACGTTGTTTCTTGGAGGAACAGCTTTCCAAGGAGAAAGCTGGGTTGTCAGAGACGACCATTACGAACCGTTTAAGAACAAGACTCCATGTATCAGAAACAGTGCGCGAACCCGATAGTTGCAGCATTTGCATGGTATGCTATAATGTTCACTGATAAACTGTCCCAACTCCGCCCTTATTTGTTTTCTTGCAGCATTTGCTCATCTTTTGTTGAATCTCTGCAGATTGAATACAAGGACCAAGACAAGATTGCGAGTTTATATTACTGCTCTCATGAATATCATGCAGACTGCATAAAGGAGTGGCTTCTGAAGAACAACCTTTGCCCGATGTGTAGGGCACTAGCTGTAATCCCAGAGGACTACCCCTGTTGGGATGGTGATGTGCGGTTACACCAAGCATTCTTTGTGCATTTGAAGCTTGCAGTTTGAAAAAGGTTATTCTTTTGTCCTTTGTTTTTTCAAGCCACATTTACAGAATTTTCTGTTGATATATTTTTTTGAAGTTGCTCACTGTTCGTTATTTAATTTGGTTTAAAATTACAGGCTTCTGGGTTGATGGCTTTGATTCGAGGCATTTATAATTATGGTCTTTATAGAAACTTGAAGATAATGGTAATATTATTAACAGCTGCCATACAATAGCCGAATGTGCCAGTTGAAAAAGTCAGAGACGAGTACGCTACTTAAAAAAGACCTTGAGCCTTTGATCCTAATCAGCCTGTACCCGTTGCACTTTGGAGTGTTTCTTCGAGTCAAACTCATCAAACTTTATTGAAGTAATTACAGAAAAAAAAAATCTTTGTTTAAATAAAATAGTTGTCGGTATGTGTGGCAAGTTGTGTTTTGTGCATTGTTTGTGTGCTCTGTTTCTGGGTTTTGTTATTTTTGTTTCTTTTCGTTTGGATTTTGAGTTGATTTGTAATAAAGAACCATCATTATCTGAAGCGAATTCAGAATCGATCATGCAGCTTGGCACGCTAGCATCTGATGATCCCAAAAGAATAGCCATGTAATGGATATAATTACCCATTTAACTACAAAAGTTAACAGAGTTGCATGAGTAACTATCCATTTCTTCTTTAATGATAGCATGAATGAAAAAAGTTCACAAGTTCTAACCGAAACAAAATTCACCTAACTCGAAAACGGATAACTTAGCCTTGATGAAGAGCATTACCAAAGATTTAAAAAAAGCCAGAGACGTTTTTGTTGCTGGTCTCTCAGCTTGTGATTCGCATCACATGGTGGAACTAGCCTTTGCTTTGCTTTGTAAAGGTCACATCCCCATCATCAAAATCTTGGAGCTGCACCAAAACAGAAAATACAAGTATCAATAAGTATCTTACCTGAAGTAAACTAGTTTTTTAAAACACTGAATATGGCATATCCCATTCAAATAAAATCCCAAAAGTTTGGCTCTCATCTTCCTATTCATTAAAAAGAACCGGCCATAATCATCTTGCGTTCTTTTTAGGAACACCTCAGTGACAAGATCTATAACATGAGCCCATAAATTTTATGAAAACTATAAAACAGCATTGACCATTAACAATACTTTTGTGACTGGTATCTAACGCCTACCTCCACCAATTGTTGCTTCTGGCAACCGCTCAATTGAATACTTGTGTTGAGTGATGTACATGATTGGCACACCAGGTATCTGCACTTAAACAAGAAAAGTTACACAGTTGTTACACATTAACGTCGTACTGTCACATAACATTGTTAGAAATTGCTATTCCACCTTTCGGATCCTTCGCTTTAAATCTCGATCGCATGTAGCAACAATGTAGCATTTGTGCTGTACCCAACAAAACAAGGTGGTCAGTCAATATCAGTCAGCAGAAAATTACACCCAGGTGCACCAGAAAATTCTCATAAGCTGCAACAGAAATCATCAAAACACCACAATCTGGCCAGTAACTTTGCCAGTATGTTAACAGAAAGAATATACAAAACCCATAATGCACAACCACTCTATGCAATGGACAAACTTTGAAATTATAGCCTGAAGTGAACTGTTGCAGGAGAGAAAAGATGCATTTTCTTTTTTCTTCAAAAGCCACCTGATTTCTTGTTGATGAGATTGACTATCCCAAGTCTAAACATTACATGCAGACTGTAGTTGCTTACATAAACATAGAAGAATGTGAATGAAACGTGTGACAGTCCAGACACACTGTAGCAAATACCTATTATACAAATTTAACATTCATGCAGTAGCAAACATCCACCATTTTAGTTATAAAGCAATATCCATAGTTCAATGCCTTCTCAGAAGGGTTGGATGCAATTTGTGGCTTTTTTCCAACCTGAAATTTTCCTTTTACACTTAAATAGAGCAAACTGGGAGACTGTTGTTTGCAAAAAGAGAACAGGTTATCTGTTCACATGAGCAGAATCTTGTGCCTCTCAAATGCCAAAGGTTGAGCTACGACTACTTGGAAAGGAAAAATCAAGCACACTTCAGCCAGTCTAGGCAGCAACTTACTGATTATACTACAAATTGGAAACTTAATTGTACAGTAGAAGATAGGCTATAAAGCCTCTATACTTCACCCTCCCAACTACCCCTACCCCCAAATGAAAAGAGAGGGGGTAAAGAATCCAAAAAACAAACCGGGAAAGTGCAGTTACTGGGTGTAAATCATACCTGAGTAACTCTTTCAACGAGACAGTCATCAGCGTAGGTTCCTTTATGAGTGCAGGGTAGTCTCTCAAAACGAGGATCCTTGGCAATCCTGTCAGGATACAATAATTTCTTTGTTAGAAACACTATTTTTGCCACTTCAAGCAAACAAATTATCAAGGCTAATGAGTGAAGCTGGAGTCAACTCACTGGTTAGAACCCGACCAATAGAAAAAAAGAAGAAGAAAAAACACAATTGAACAAATAGAATATGTAAAAAAAAACAGTAAAAAACTGCTAGACAGAACAATGAAGAGGGATGGAAGTACAAGACATGCATCCATGCATCCACCAATTGCAAACCATTTCGCCATGAAATATATTAGTAGAGAACATGGGAAAATACCTCAGAGCCACACGATATTTCTGACCTAACTTCTCAAGCTCTGCCATTACACAATCCGTGATACAAGGAGTGCCTATAAATTCAAAAGATACGCAAGTTGTTATAAAACAGAAGAGAAACTGAATGATGGAACACTCCCCAGCATTCATTGTACAGAAAACCAAAATGATATTTTGGCGACCATTATAAACCACCAACTGAGGAGTGTCTGCAATCAAGACGAGGTACTGATTTCTTGTATTGAAAATTCAAGATTCAAAACCAGTTCCCCATAAACAATACATAAAAGTGAATAAACGAGTGATTGAAGACTCACACTTTGCGTATAGGCAATCCATCATTCCCTTCTCCAAATCCAACTACATAAAGTGAAAGGGAAAAACAGAAGTCAAACTATGCCCAATACATACAGCTTCTAACTAAAGCTTTGGCTCATCAAAAAGAACAAAACGAGCTTAAACTTATCAAAGAGTACACCATGCATCAAGATTTTTCAACCATAACTATAGAAATGCTTAAGATGTTTCATTCACTAATCAAACAAAATTCCAGGTAAGACGGCTATATGCATAGTATTGAACACTCACCTTATTCTGAATAGAGAAATTGATGAAGTTAGTATCGACCAAAACCCGGTATGGCGGCCCCAACGCAGTGTTGTATTTGAAGAAAAGCGCCGACGAAACATTTGGCCTAAATTACAAAGACAATATAATTATGCCCAAACCAATAAACAAAAGCAACAAATTGAAAAAGACTTGATAAAAAAACTTACACATTTCTTGGTAGCTTTTCTTTGGTGAGATCTTTCTTGTTTGGGTTCAAAACCTCCTCTTTGTAGCTGAATTTAAAACATACAACAAAAAAGAATGAACTTATAAAGTTTCCTATGAAGAAAATCGAAGAAATAAACACAAATAAGAAAGATTTTATCAAAAGGCTCACCTTTTAATTGCTTTGGAGGTAACGACCTTCTTCATGACTGCGAACTTAGGACCTTTTCGTGCCCTCCCCATCTCTTTGTTGATCACAGAGCAAAACAAGCTTGCAAATTTGGGATTGCGCAGAACCCTAAAACCTTTTACTTTGTCCCTAATAAACCCTACGAAAACCAACAAATAGAGAGAGAGCTCAACTTCTCACTTGGGTCGGTTAGTCTGGCTGGGCAGACAGGAAGAAGGACAGGACGACGACAATAATTGCTTTAGCCGCAGTTTGGGCTATGAATCTGTAACAGGCCTGCTTGAGTCCAGGCCCAAGACTCCCTTGGGTTTTAGAGCCAAATATTTTTTTTACAGGCTTTGGATTACATCGTTTGGTCAACATATTTGACTGTGAGAATTTAACAATCCCCACCGCTAGATCGAAATTCAATGATTGACTTGAAGCAAAGGATCGCCTTCATCTTCCGATGGTGATACTAATTTAGTCATTGGAGAGTTCTTCTTTTTGTTTTCTGACACTAATTTTCTTAATTTGATCTAATGGTATATGATTAAAATTTTGATCGCTGTGCAAGAAAACTTGTAATTTAAGTGATTAGAAGATTGGTGTGATCGAGATTTGAGAGCAACAAGACAAATGGAAGATTATTATTATTATTTTTTAAAATCATACACTCTAAAGATTGTGCTATAGTAATAACTTTATATAAGATGATAAGCACAGGATTTTGACATCATCAACTTTTATTATAATTAAAAACGATGAAAGAGCATTACTGCTTTATTTTACTTATTTTAAGCCTTCTGATAGTCAGGGCTGAAGTTACACACTGCCTCGAATTTGAGAACTATAGCCACTCCTGTCATCGTTGAACTTATCATAGAGCATGACACCTCCATACTTGGGAGATCCCTTAACAAAAGGCAACACTTGGTTTTTCAAATCATTTGGATTCACAAAGCCACTGCCAGCAGCTTGACTGGAAGCCGGAAGCCCGACGAAGAACTGGCCGGCTTTTATGGACGAGGTCCATTTGTTCCATGAGTTCTTGAAGGCATTGGGGTTGCCGGTGGTAAATTCACATTGAGGGTTGTTGTAGAATTGAACCCAAACATAGTCAAAGAGGCCAGTGGACAAAGCACCATTGAGATACTGGTCAGGAAATGGGCATTGTGGTGCTGCACTTAAGTAGACCTTTTTGCCTCTTTTGCTGTAGTCAGACAACCTCCTAGCAAGTGCAGCATAGAAAGGTCCACCTTTCTCGATGTCGAAATCTATGCCGTCCAAAACGGCGTTGCCTAGAGGCCGTGAGTTTGATTGGCCCCCTAAGAAGTTGTTCCATAGGTAGTCTGCTACACTGTTAGCATCAGCATCAGATGACAGTCCATAGTTCCCTGCGCCGCCACCGATCGAAAGCAAGACCTTGATGCCTTTGCTTTGGCAGTTTTTGATGCCAGCCCCCACTCCTTGGCAGCCGTTTGATGCTGGGTTACAGTGGCCAGCTAAGTTGATTTCAGGTCTTTGGCCATTGCCAAATTTTGAGAGAAATCCTATGTTTACAATTCGATATTTTCCAGTATTACATGTGTCTGTGAGTGAGCCTTCACCACCATTTTGACCCCAATACACCACAACGACTCCGGCATAGGATTGGGAAAACAAGGCTGGGAGAAGTAGTAGGAAGATAGTGAGAGCTTGAGAACAAAACTTGGTGAACGAGGCAGCCATAGTTGTTGTGTTATGAGTTTGATGCCAAAGGCTCATGCGGGATTAATCTATTTATAGACTTTGCAGGATCTGAGTTTGGGAAGACATTTGGAACTTTGTTTCTTAGTCAATTTTGTGCATACGGGTTTATTGGGTTCTTGCCAAACATATGTAATAATTACTAAGGAGAAAAGTATACAAAGTTAATGTTCATATTTGTATACTTTTCTCAATAGTTGTGTACAAGTTGGACATAGAAGGGTTTTGGAGGTTGATCCCCATTATGCCAAACTAAAAAGTTATCCTAACTAGTGGTAAACAAAAGCAATGTCGAATTACCAAACATATTGAGATGGATTGTCACTCTCTCAAACATATTTGGCAATTGCCATTGCAAGATTTATTTTGGCCCCAAAAACGGAATTTGCATGATGTAGAATTTTCCATCTAAACAAAACAATGTGATCAGATCATTTGCTTGACTTCAAGTCAAGCAAGCATACAGTAATTGCTAGGATCCACCTAGCTATCTGGTGGTGGGTGGTTCTTTCGTCCTTTACCAAACTTTTCCACAGATTGAAGTAAATGGACACACTTTTGGCTTTACTAATCACGAGTGCTAAGACTTGACCAAAACAAAAAATCACGAGTGCTAAGACGTACCGGCTGGGCTACCAGGGTACAGAATATCAGCAGGAACTGGATAAGATATGCTTTTGTTTTGGGTCTGAGGATAAGATATGCTTAGACTTGAAGTCAATAGCGAACAACAGGCTTTGTCATCACTTAAAATATGTATATTTGGGTAGAATAATTCATAGTAGTTTATTCTTCTTTCTAGGAGAGTATTTATATGAAGCATTTTTGCTCACCATTTTAACCTAAGGTATATGCTTACCATCATTTTTAATACTTGACATGTATTCATAAGCATAATCATGGTTATGCCTATGAAAATGTGTAGTAAGAAGGATGGTGAGCATACATTTTGGGTTAAAGTGATAGAGCAAAAATATTTCCATTTATATATGCACAAATATATAACAATTAGGAAAGTAAATAGGAAAGTAATTACAATCCCATCTATAATAAGGGAATCCTACAATTTTACGGGATAACAATTTCTAATTAATCACAATTATATGATTTATGCCAACACTCTCCCTCAAGGTGGTGCATATACATCTCCAATGCCCAACTTAACAAGTGAATCATGGAATGCTTGACTTGATACGGCTTTTGTTAGAATATCTGCCAGCTCCTTTGTAGTCTTCACATATGGAATATGTATAATATTATCTTCCAATTTTTCACACACATAATTACGATCAATCTCCGCATACTTCCAATTTTTCACACACATTCTCTGCAATTTTAATCACTTACTGATTATCACAATAAAGCTTCATAGTCTCTTTAGGACCGAAACCCAGTTCTTCCACAAGTCTTTTCAACCACAATAATTCACATATGCCTTTAACTATAGCCCTGTACTCTTCCTCTGCATTGGACAGAGCAACCACTTTATATTTTTTACTATGCCATATGTAACTAGATTTCCTCCTACAAAGGTAAAATACCCAGAAGTGGATATCCGTCTGAAACCTTTGCCACCCCAAGTAAAGTCTATATATCCCGCAATCTCAAGGTGTCCATGTCTGGAAAACATAAGACCATTCCCATGAGCAGATTTCAAATAACAAAAAATTCTCATCACTTCACTCATATGGACTTCACTTGGATTATGTATAAACTGATTCACAATACTTACTGCATATGCAATATCTGGTTTACTGCATAAACTGACACAATGCTTATGTCAGCAACCAAAAAAAAAAAAAAAAAAACCAAAAATTTCAGAAATTTCAATTTTTTTTATAAAATAAATACCTAGCCATATTCTTTACTTCCCACACCAAAAACTCTATAAAAATTCATCTCCTCATATCTCATGTGAATAATAATTGCCCTAGCCCTAGCCCATAGGGGTGGAAACAAAAGTGACGGCCCTTGCCTTGCCCTTTTCTTGCCTTTGCCCATTGGGGTGGAAGTGCTATAATTGTAATGAGCTTAACTACAAAGAGTTTGTTCTGGAGCAATCTCTATATTTATATATGCATAATCAGAGATTTCATGTTGTACTGGATTCTCTGCAATTTTAATCACTGACTGGTTATCACAATAAAGCTTCATAGTCTCTTTAGGCCCGAAACCCAATTCTTCCACAAGTCTTTTCAACCACTATAGCCTTGTACTCTTCCTTTGCACTAGACAAAGCAACCACTTTATATTTTTTACTATGCCACATGTAACCAGATTTCCTCCTACCAAGAAGTGGATATTCGTCTGAAACCTTTGCCACCCCAATCAGAGTTGTTTGTACCATATCTGACCCTCCACTCATCCAGTGACACGTGGATCAGAGAATCTCCCCAAGTGCCCAAGGCTCCGAACGATCGACATCAGCTACCGATGAGATTGTCTCGAATCAACAAACGGTCTCTACATGCCCAGTAGAGTCTACAATCGGTACCTCCTACCGATTCTGCAGAATCAACCTCGAAGAGCCTGCCCAAAATATCTAAAGACTCGTGTCAACCTCATAGGGCCCTCCCACGAGTCCCACATCGAAATTAAGTACTAAGAGCATACAAAATGCCCTTTATAAATAGGCCCATTCACTACAATACAGGGGTAAGACTTTTCAGCTTGACTTTTATACTAATATATTGTCAACAGCAAAAGCTCTCAGAAAACAAACTTACTTTGGCATCGGAGGGTCTTAGGTTGGTTCCACACCGGTTCCATAGACCTTACGAATCCTGGCTTCCTTTTATTCAGGATCAGCATCCAAGGACAGGAAGAATCAGCATCTAGCACTCAATCGATCTCTAAGATCGTCCGTATCACTTGTAAGTTGCACTCATCTCTATCTGTTCAGTTTTAGTGCCAACAAGAGTCTATATATCCTACAATCTCAAGGTGTCCATATCTAGAAAACATAAGACCTTTCCCAGGAGCAGATTTCAAATAACACAAAATTCTCAGCACTGCACTCATATGGACTTCACTTGGATTATGCATAAACTGACTCAGAACACTTACTGCATATGCAATATCTGGTCTAATGTGTGACAAATAAATCAGTCTACCAACTAACCTCTGATATCCTTCCTTATTAGTTGGTACTTGATCTGGAAGCTCTTCCATACCATGATTCTGCTCAATGGGCGTATCAATAGGTTGACATCCCAACATTCCAGTTTCTTTTAATAAATCTAAAACATATTTTTTTTTGGAATAGATATATACCTAGCTTTGAATGAGTAACTTCTATGCCCAGAAAATATTTTAATCCTCCAAGGTCCTTCATATCAAACTTAGAAGCTAAATAAGTCTTCAACTTCTCTATCTCCTCAACGTCATCGTCTTTTTCCTCTACAATTTCTCTAAATCTAAACAATATTTTCAATCACTAACAATTTTCTTATTCAGAGAACCAAAATTAAAATGTGAGTGTGTG